GGAGGAAGCACAAGCTGGAAACAAGATTGCTGGGAGAAATATCAATAACCTCAGATATGCAGATGACACCACCTTTATGGCAGAAAGTGAAGAAGAACTAAAGAGCTTCTTGATGAAAGTGAAAGAGGAGAGTGAAAAGTTGGCTTAAAGCTCAACATTAAGAAAACTAAGGTCATGGTATCTGGTACCATCACTTCATGGCAAATAGATCAGGAAACAGTGGGAATGGTGGCTGACTTTATTTTTCTGGGCTCCAAGATCACTGCAGATGGTGATTGCAGCCATGAAATTAAAAGATGATTACTCCTTGGAAGGAAAGTTATGACCAACCTAGACAGCATATTAAAAAGCAGAGACATTACTTTGCCAACAAAGGTCCATCTAGTCAAGGCTATGGTTTTTCCAGTGGTCATGTATGGATGTGAGAGTTGGACTATAAAGAAAGCCGAGCGCAGAATAATTGATGCTTTTGAACTGTGGTGTTGAAGACTCTTGAGAGTCCCTTGGACTGCAAGGTGATCCATCCTAAAGGAGATCAGTCCTGAACATTCACTGGAAGGACTGATGCTGAAGCTGAAACTCCAGTACTTTGGCCACCTGATGCGAAGAGCTGACTCACTGGAAAAGACCCTGATGCTGGGAAAGATTGAGGGCAGGAGGAAAAGGGGATGACAGAGGATGAGATGGTTGAATGGCATCACCGACTCAATGGACATGGGTTTGGGTGGACTCCGGGAGTTGGTGATCGACAGGGCGGCCTGGTGTGCTGCAGTTCATGGGGTTGCAAAGAGTCGGACACGACTGAGCGACTGAACTGAACTGATAGATTCAACACAATCTCTATCAAGATTCCAATGGCATTTTTTACAGACTTAGAGAAAAGTATACAGTACTAAAAATTATACAGAGCCACAAAAGACTCTGAAGAACCAAAGCAATCCTGAGAAAGAAGTACTTAGTAGGCAGCATCACATTTTCTGATTACAAGCTATGTAGCTGTAGTTATCAAAACAGTATGGTAATGACATTAAAACAGACACACACCAATGGAACAGAATCAAGACCCAGAAATAAACCCATTCATATAGAATCAAGCCATATATCACAAGGGAGCCAAGAGAAATCAATGGAGAAAAAACAGTCTTTTTGACAATAGTGCTGGGGAAATTGAATATTCACATGTAAAGAATGAAAGTAGGTGCCTATCTTATACCACTCACAAAAATTAACTTGAAATGAATTAAAGACTTGATTCAAAGAGTAGAAACCATAAAACTACTAGAAAATTACAGGCAGTAAGCTCCATGACATCAGTGTTTGCAATTTTTTTGGAATATGACACTTAAAAGCACAAGCAACAAAATAAAAAAATTTTTAAAATGGGACTATATCAAAGTAAAAAGCTTCTGCATAGCAAAAGAAACTATTAAAAAAAATGAAAGGATAACCTATGGAATGAGAGAAAAATATTTGTAAACCATGTGTCTGATAAGGGATTAATATCTAAAATGTATAAAGAACTTGTAACTCAACAGCAAAAAAAAAAAAAAAAAAAAATTTAAAATGGACAAAGAACCTGAATAGACATTTCTCCAATGAAGAGAGATATGAAAGGTCAACACATACATGAAAACCTATCAAAAAGACAAGAGATAATAAATGCTGACAAGGTTGTGGAGAAAAGGGAACCCCTGTGTACTATTGGTGAGATTATAGACTGGTACAGACAGTATAGAAAACAATATAGACGTTCCTCAAAAATTAAAAAATGGAACTACAGCATGATCCAGCAATTCCACTTCTGGGAATATATCTGAAGAAAATAAAAACACTACGTCAAAGAGATATTTGCACCTCCATGTTCACAGCAGCATTCATCTACAATAGCCAAGACACGGAAACAACGTAAGTGTCCATTGAGGGATGAATGGATAAAGAAATTGTGATACATAAACATACACATGTTTTTCAGCCATTAAAAAGATGGAAATCCTGCCATTTGGAAAACACAGATGGATCTTAACAGCATTATGTTAAGTGAAGTGAGTCAGAGAAAGACAAATACTGTATGATCTCACTTATACATGAAATCTAAAAAAAATGCAAAGAAAAAAACCCAAACTCATAGAAAAAGAGATCAGGTTTGTAGCTACCAAGGCAGACAGTGAGGTCAGGGAGGAAACTGGAAGACATGGTCAAAAGGTATAAACTTCCAGTTATAAGAGAAGGAAGTATTACAAAAGTAATAATGTACAACTTGATGACTATAGTTGACACCTGTTATATGATATATACCAAAGTTGTGAAGGGAATAAATCCTGAGTTCTTACCACAAAAGGAAAAAACCATGTTTTTCTTTTTGTATCTACAGGAGACGATGGATGTTAACTAAACTTGTAATCATTTCACAACATATTTGTCAAATCATTATGCTATACATCTCAAACTCATATAGTCCTGTATGTCAATTACATCTCAATGAAACTGGGAAGAAATGTTAAAATCCCCTCTATGAGCCGTCAACTTAGGGCCCATATTAGTCTCCCTCATTTAGGCATTCACAGAGGCAAAGTAAAGAACTAAATTCCTGAGGAGGGCCTGTGTCATGGCCGTGACTGGGTAGACCTCTTCTGGGTGACCCTAAGGCGTCTGCTTCATCTTTGCATCCTTTCCTTCCCAGATGGGAATATCCTTTGTCTGATGACAGATTCTCTAGACTTCTGCAATATTAAGCACTACAGTTCAAACAAAAGGACTGGAGACTATCTAACAAGTCTAATTATTTCTTTACAACTTAACTCCCAAAACACACTACAAATGCAGTAAAACATACAGAAAGTGAGCTCCACGGTATCTCTTCTGTATACCCAAAACAATTTTAAAGCATGTCATGTGGCCAATCAGCGAGACTGTGTCTGTTAACACTTGTTCTTCACCTATTGGGGTAATCGTGGGCACAAGCCGTGGGCAGGCCTCACCTCTTGGACACAGACAACTCCATTTTCTCCAGCATCATCCCACATTTTTTTTTTTTCATCCCACATCTTTTAGCTCTGAATTACCAATTCCCAAATTAAAAGGGAAGAATCAATTTTCCTTCACAGAAGAAATTATTTTATTCCACTTGAAAAAAGTACACAGTTCTTTGCCTGGCAAAAGTCTTTTTCTCATGAGTCTGCATCCTGCCTTGTGAATTTAATGGTTACAAAATGTTAGAGAAACTTGTGGTCCTTGGGCACAGCACACAAACACTTGACTAGAAAGGCATTTATATGATCAAAACATTTCCTGTAGCAATGATTCACAAGTTCACTTTAAGACCAGCTTGACTTTGAAGAAAACATTTAGTTTTAAGATTTAAATTTGCTAATTGAACCCAGGGCAAAACAGTTTTTCACATAATTGAGAGGAGAAACTGAAAACCCATCTCAAGTACTCATCCACCACATTCCCCTTTTCTTACCTGAGCTCTCTTAAATTGATCTCTAGGCCGAAGGTGTCAAATGCCTTAAACCTACCCAAAGCTCAGCATTTGTGCATCATGTTTTTCTCCCTGGAGGTAGACCTTTCCAAGGCTCAGCCACCCTGGCCAATTTCCACTCCTCCATGGGACCAAGGCTCCTACCCTCACCCCAGTCACCCTTACTACAACAGCAAGGCCTCAGAGGCCAACCAGGCCCTACATGAGCTTCCAAATTTAACACTGCTGTGGCCTCGTCAGAGATGGGCAAACCTCAGGCCTCTCTTTTTATGGTCTTCCACAGCAAGGGTCACCTCTAGGCGCTACATTAAGTGTTCAGTAGTTTAACATCATGAGCTACATTGTAGTCACTCAAAGAAAGGTGACTGAGTCCTAATCCTGTTCTATGACTCTGGAAGTCCTAAGAATGGGGTCAAGGAAGCAGAGCAAGTACATCCATTCTCCCTGCACCACTCTGCCAGGAGCATACGGGGGCCAGCAGATGCTGGGCTGGTGACTGCTCAGCCTTAGAAATGTCACGTGTTGGGACCTGGTGATAAGGCACTCATCTTTCTCCCTATACCTACCTCACTCGACACAGATCAGAAACAGCTCCCTCCAAGGATGCTGACTTGGGGAATCCAGTTAGCATCACCACGGAAAAGGTCCTCAGGTGAAACTGGGCCATGGCCTTCAAATGTTCTGGCCAGAAGTGCCAGCTGCACCATGAAGAGCTTAAAATGTGCCTGTGTGTCAGATTAAGGAGCGCTAAAATTATGAGGAACAGAACTGCTATCTGCTCAATATTCAACAGTTTAGATCCAGGGCTTTCAAAATTCTAGATATGACATAAAAAAGCTGTCTGGGTATAAATGTGAAGCAGGGCTTGTTACAACTGTAATGTATCACACCCTGAAACAGGGCGGCACCTCATTATTGCACACTGTCTTTGCTGGAGAGATACAAAACATCATTTTTCAGAGCCAGTCAACCCACTCCAGTGTTCCTGCCTGGAGAATCCCAGGGACGGGGAAGCCTGGCGGGTTGCCGTGTATGGGGTCGCACAGAGTTGGACACAACTGAAGTGGCTTAGCAGCAGCAGCAGCAGCAGCATCCCTCCACAGTAGGCAGTGGACAAAGCAACACACAGACAAAGCTGACACCAGGGTCTCCCATATGCAGGTCCATCTGCCAAGGCCATTCATCTCTCTCCACTCATGTCCAACTTGAGGGCCTACAGTGCTATTGTAAAGACACACAAGTCCAGTCCACTAAATGCCTTCAAGGAGCAGCATTTGCCATGTGTAAACGTCTCTCCTGTCACTCTTCTCTGGATATAAGAGGCTGAGAACGCTGATGTTTTGGCTCCCACAGGCTTGGATGAGTCCACTCCCCATGATGAATGTGATTGAGAACATGATGGTGACTACTGAAATCTGTCCATATGTCACAGAAAAAAAAAAATGCAGCATGCTAAGATATGGACAACATCAGTGGAAGCCTAAGTGCTAGAGCTGGCCTGATTGCTTAGAAACAAGAGCTAGATCCCCCCATGGGTGGTCTGACTGAACTGGCTCTCTGAAGAGGGGATGGTTGGCATTGGAATTGCTAATCTGGGGGCTTGCCCTTGAACTGCATTCCCTGCCATGGAGCCATTAGGGATAGCAGTTGTGTTCAAGATACTAGGGGTCTCACTAGTAGCTTGTATTTTAAAATAGACTAAATAAAACACTGGTAAAACAACTCCAATTAGAAGCATGATAAAAACAGCATTCCACCACTGAATCCCACAGTCTGCACCATTTGTCAGTGTCTTTGGAGGAGCAGGAAGCAGTGGCTGACTGGAGGTCTCTATGGAGTAACTTTCACTCAAAAAGACTTCTGACTGAACTGCATGTTCAATGTTCTGGTCAACGCCCTTAAAGAAATCCGTCAGTGAGCCAGATGAGGCACTGGCATTGACAGCTGCTCTGTCTGGGTCTGGCTGCTCCTCGAAGGTCACTCTGGTCTCTGAGGATGAGTTCAGGAGGGGTCTGAGTTCTTTGTGGGTCTCTGTTAGAATCCCGTGGTTTTTCACTGGAATCTTAATAGATTTTAAAGCATATAAGTCTTGTTCTCTGATGAAGTTGTTGACTTTCTTGATATCTGCAACCTAGGGAAGCCATAAAGACAAACATCACAAAATATGTAAAGCTGTTTAAAACTAATATCCAAAAAGTGGCACTTAAACTTCCTGGGTGATGGTCCACACCCACATCACTTAACAATCTGACGAACACTGGAAAACTGTTTAACTATACACAAAATTGAGTTCAGGCTGAATAATGTTTTTTGGCTTTAACTCAGCCTTAATGTACAGCTTAATCATCAAATTTTTGTATAGACTTATTTGAGCAATTCAAGATCAGTTTTGGAAAAGAACTTATCGTTTAAAGTGTGCCTTCAATAAAAAGCCTTAAGGTGAAACACTTCATGGTAAAAGAAGGCTGTAGCCCTTTCTGCATTTAACTTTTTAGGCAACAGTGCCCCTGTCTGGCTGACTTCTCTCCCGCATCACAATGTAATTTGGCAGCTGCAGTAGATATCAGCATTCAGCAAACACAAAGCCTTAGCCAGCTCTACCGACACTAGGACCTAGTTCATCTGCAACAACTTCTTAAAAGGTGTGCTCTCATGATTCTACTACGTTTTCCTTTCCAGATGTACTGTATGGCCTATAAACTTATTTTTAAAATAAAAGCAATCTAGAGTTAATTCAGCTTGAGGCTTTCAGGACACTTTTTATAACTAGAAACATGCACAGAGTATGCATCAAGTTGGAAACTACAGACTGACACCTTCCATTTCAATATTATGACTTGAGAAAGGAACGTGACCTGAGTTTTAAAGACTCACAATAAAGTTTATGAAAAGTCATAACAAACTCCCCTCATACTCAAACTTTAAGATTTAAAAAGTAGGGGGAAATGTAAGTCAAAGACAAATCCTCCCTCAAGTGATTGTTTGAAAACTTACCAAAAGCGTCAGAGATAGATTCTAAGGTTTTAACTCCTAAGTTCATTTAAACTAGAATGTTAAAATAGTCAATAGACTTCATCCAAATCAATCATCTTCATTATTTTAATTATTTAGCAATTGCTTTTACTATTTAATTGTATTGGGGTACATCTTGTAACTTAAGGTACTTAGGATATTTTTGTCTTTGATCCTAATAAGCTAACATCAAATTTATTTACTTCAAATAGGAAAACGGATCACATATTAGATAAATTATATAGTTCTTTTGGATTTGTTAAACATTAGCATTCCAAGAAGCCCACTGTGTCTATTCAGGTCTTTGTAGGAAAGGATTCAATTTTTAGCCCTTGCTCTATAAACCATTTAGTATGCCTACAGAAGCTGATTATAAGGATCAAATAAAAATCTCAGTACAATTTAGAGACCATTATGAGTCCCAGGGGGCTTTCCAGGTGGCTCAGTGGTAAAGAATCTGCCTGCCAATGCAGGAGATACAGGCTCGATCCCTGGGTCAGGAAGATCCCTGGAGTAGGAAATGGCAACCAACTCCAGTATTTTTGCCTGAAGAATCCCATGGACAGGGAAGGCTAGATGGCAACAGTCCACGGGGTCACAAAGAATTGGACGTGACTTAATGACTGAGCAGTTTTGTGTATGTCCCTGGAGACCAGTTTAATACCCTGGGAAACGACAATCCCACACAACATGTTGATTCATTTGATCCCTGTTAGATAAATGAGAGACCCTTCAAGGATAAAAGGATTTTTTAAACAAGTAGCTTATATAGACTTGGAAAAAGCCATAGAAAATAGTAGCACAGTGCTAGCAAAATGAAATAGTTTGAATCTAGGAGAAAATGCAACAATTCAATAAATACCCTCCTACTTACTTTGCCATTGTTAATCACTCTGAATGCTAAAAACATAATTAAAGAGAGAAACAGGGTTATATAGATACACAGCATACAAAGGATAGCTCATGCACTTCTGAAAGATAGAAGGCAAAAATTTATCAATCAAATAAGCTACAATTAGCAAGAAAGGTTTAAAAACAGAAAAGTAGCAGGAAAAAACAAACCAGCAAGCACACCAAAGAAATCTTGGATAAACTCTGCCTGGCATCTCTGGCCCCATTATACGTTAAATAAAATGTGCTCAAAAGAGAAAAAAAGGTTTCAGAATTTCAGTTTGGAAGGACAAGGAAGACCAGAAGTACTGTGCAGACTGGGAACTGTCCCATCACCTGAAATTCCTAATCCCCTCTCTCTCTGATGAACAGGTCATTCCACCTGCCTTCCATCTCTAGATAGGAGTGTCCTTTATTCTAGAACAGGCTTCTCCCAACCACTTCTGGGGGTCAGGAAGAGGTAGGAAGGGTCCCCACCCTTCAGTGAGCACCTCTGTTCCTCTAAACACAGGGCCAAGGGGCAGGTGGCGCCTTCTCCTGTGGGGTTTCTTACTTTGCAGCCATACTGAAGAGCGAGCTTGTTGAGGCTGTCCCCCTGGGCCAGTTCCCGCTGCAGCAGCACCACGTCCCCTGCTCCTGGCCGGCGAGCGTGGTGGACACCCTTCTTCTGGCTCTCCTTGCCCCGGGGCCGCAGGGCCACTCGGTGGGACTCTTCCTCAGAGGAGTCCTCGGAGTCCTTAACACCATTCTCAAACATGTAAACGTGGCTGGTCGGAGTCCTACAGATCACAGCTGGGCCTTGGAAGGTCTTGGTTATCACCTCCTTCTGCCTCATTTCCTTAACTGAAAACCAAACCCCAAGGTTAATCCCACACAAGGCATATTCATTCCTCTGGGACTACACTGAAGATAAATGCCTTCTTCTTGTTAGAGATGACTTCTTTCCCTAAAATAAATACCCAACACATACTCATGACATGTGTTGAGTATTTTGTGCACAAAAAATGTCAAAACGTATTTATGCTGCCTGAGATGAAGGGAGAGATAGGCAAATAAATACAATTTTCCCTCAATACATTACTTTTTTTTGAGCAAAAAAGAATCCCCTTTCTTCTCCCTTTATTCCTCATCCATTGCTATGTCTTTCCAAAACCTACAGATGTGGAGAAATAACTTCTGTTTTTGGTCCTGGAGTAATAAAGCAGGGGCTGGGATCACTGACGAGAGGTAAGGACTGCTCCCAGCTTCCTTCCTTGCACTGAGCCTCTTAAACTCAGAACCTTTTACCAAAAAATTCTTGCTCAATACTTCAAGCATTCCAAAGTAGTTTTACTTAAGGTCAGACTAAGAGCATTTGCTTAGAAGAATTATGAGACTAAATACTCTGATCTTGAAATGGTTTGAATTATGTAACGAGTGAGGCAAGTTAAGGGGAAGATTTCTGTCCAACTAAGGAATTCTTCCGGTTTCTCACAGCTCCCTTGGCCTTCAGAGCCAAGTCTGGTTTTTATTTTCACTTCCAGACAAGTGCAGAAGCCACAATACAGCCTTAGTGGCGCGAATGAACTTCCAGAAATGAAATCTCAAAACCGGGAACGACAGCCTGAAACAACTGGCACTGGGGTTCTTGGGAGGCAGAAGGGGTGCGGCCCCCTAGGAAGAGCGGGTCCGCGGAGCGACCCCTCCCTGGCCCTAGCCCCCTCCCCGCACTCCAGAGCCCCCGCCGGCTCGCAGGAGGGAGGTAAGAGGCGGCTCTCCGCGTGGCCAAAGGTCACCCGCGGCGGCCGGGGCTCGAGCGGACCTTCCCGTCGGAGCTCAGCGACTGCAAGAAGCCCCGGGCCCCCAGGGCCTCAGTTTCCCTCGGAGCTCCTTCCGCGAAAGGAATGGGGACCCCCAAACAGGAGCTAAGAAAAAGCCGGGAGCAGCCCGTCCTCTGCTCAGACCGGCGGAGTCCCAACGTTCCACAGAGGCACGACCTCCGACCTCTACCCCAGAAACCTCCGGCCAGCGCTCGACAGTCTAGGTCGCGGCACCTCCAACTGCAGGAGGGTGACCTCAGAGCCCCAGGAGTGGCGGCTGGACACCCAGACGACAAGCGGGGCGACGCCACTGCCCCGAATTAGACCGTCGCCCCCCTCCAGTAGGCCCGGTACCTCAGCACCCGGGATCCACCGAGACCCGCCGCCGCCGCCGCCGCCGCCACCGCCGCGCCTGCCGATTGGCTGCGGAAATCAGCTGGTGTCTGGGGGCGGGAACGGCGAGGCAACCAATGAAATCAGTGATGGGCGGCTCCGGCAGTGCGGAGAGGTCGGCCCAGGACCTGCGAATCCCAGGCCAGGGCCTGGGCCGAGGCCGGCGGCGGGGCGGGGCCGAGGCGGAGCTCCTGGACCGAACCTCGCCACACCCGCCTCACTGGGGGTGCCGAGCTCCCTGGGCGGTCCTGGCTCCTGTCTCTCCCGGCTCTCCGCTGAGCCTCCGCGCTCTGACCCCCTGTCTGTCTGTGATATGTAACGACAGCTCGGGTACCTAGTAGAGGGTAGCTGAGGCCTCCGGCCGAGAAGGAGCCCCAGGGCATCTGCGTGGGAGGGTGAGGGGTCTCCGCAGCCTGGGCCTTCTCTGGTCTGAACACAGGAGTTTGCTCCACCGCGCCCCACCCAAGAGGATAAAAAAAGAAAAGTCCACCGGTGTAAGACAGTGAAGCGCGCAAACAATGACCAAAGAAACATAATTTATCAAGTGTCACGTGGTGGAGGACTCCTTAAGCTTGTTGTTGTTGTTGTTGTTGTTCGGTCTCTCAGTCCTGTCCGACTCTGCGCCATGGACTGCAGCTCCCGGAGCTTGTTCGAACTCATGTCCATTGAGTTGGTGATGCCATCCAACCAGCTCATGCTCTCTCGTTCCCTTCTCCTTCTGTCTTCAATCTTTCCCGGCATCAGAGTCTTTTCCAATGAGTCATTTCTTCTAATCAGGTGGCCAAAGTATTGGAGCTTCAGCATCAGTCGCTCCAATGAATATTAAGGACTGATTTTCTTTAGGATTGACTGGTTAGATTTCCCTGCAGTCCAAGGGACTCTCAAGAGTCCTCTCCAACACCGCAGTTTGTAAGCATCCATTCTTTGGAGTTCAGCCTTCTTTATGGTCCAACTCTCACATCCATACGTGACTTCTGGAAAAACCATAGCTTTGACTATACAGACCTTTGTCGGCAAAGTAATGTCTCTTCTTTTCAATAAACAGTCTAGATATAGTCATAGCTTTTCTTCCAAGGAGCAAGCGTCTTTTAATTTCATGGCTGCAATCGCCATCCACAGTGATTTTGGAACCCAAGAAAATAAAGTCTGTCACTGTTTCCACTGTTTCTGCATCTATTTGCTATGAAATGATGGGACTGGATACCATGATCTTAGTGTTTTGAATGTTGAGTTTTAAGTCAGCTTTTTCACTCTCCTCTTTCACCTTCATCAAGAAGCTCTTTAGTGCTGCTTCACTTTCCTTAAGCTTAAAAGTGATTAACTCTTTCATATAATAAATAAAGAACCAATGTTTAAAATTTCAACCCAAGAAAAGGAAACCAAAATTTAAAGACAGTGGTAATCTGGGGAAAATAGATGAAGCAAAATATTAAAATCCTTAGCTGAGAGAGACCTCATTGAATTAATAAGAAACACACTAAGATCCCAATAAGATGAGCAAACAATTTTGCACAAGCAAAACACAGTTAAAAGGCTATCAGGGAAGAGAAATTGAAACTCGCTAACCATCAGATTAAACAATAAAGCAGAAGGAGTAAAACAATAAGATCTCAGAAACCCCTTCTATGGCTTTTCATCCCCTTAGAATAAAAGTTAACTTATTCATCTTGGTAGACAAAGTCCAGGATGGTGTGAAGGCTCCAGTGGATTCTCTGCCATTCTACCCATTTCTTTCAGCCATGCCCCACTTTTCTCTGGGCTTTAAACATCCAGATCTCCCACCCCTGGCCCTTCAGAGGACTGTCCCTCTCTCAGCTGCTGGCTTGACTAGACCTTCTGACTCTCTGGCCCTGCATAAGTCACCTTCTCAGCAGGGTCTTTCCTTTCCACCCAATATACATGTGTGTGCTCTCCATGTTCTGGCAGATCATTCTGCTTCTTCATCTTCCCACTTAATTTACTTGTTTTAGTGCCAGAGTCCTCCTGCCCCTAATTATCATCTCTGTTTTGCTCACCACTCCCAGTGCCCAGCTAAGTGCTTTCACTTAGTAGGTGCTCATTAAACAGTGTTTCAGTAGGAGAGACATTAAGTGACGCAACTGAAGTACACAGGAAGGAAGTAGCAGCTTCAAAATCCAGTTCCTTCTGTGTGTGACTCCAAAGGCCCAGTTGTCTGGCCAAAAGCACTTGGCCATGGCCTGGTAGATTTGGCAAGCCTAGGAGTCAGAATTTAAAAGTGTGGTTAATGGGAGAAGAGTCAAAACATAACCTGCAAATCTGAATGAATATAGCCACACTCTGATCAGTTATAGTTGCTTCTTTCATTCCACATGTCCAATAAAAACCAAATTGAGAATCAAGAGGGAATTTAGGATTACTACAAGAGGAGAAAGGGACTGCTGCAGTGGGGTTGGAGGAGATGGCTCTGACTATAGGGTCTGAAAGCATCTAAGAGTTAGAGAGAAAGGGTTGGTCTCTTACAGAGAGGAGTAAACAAGACTAGAAAGAACCAGGTGTGGGGAAGTGGGATGAAAGGTGGCAGAATCCAGCATATTCTCAACTGGAATGCTGACTCAGCCTGAGGTTGGATCAAAGTTCATTCAGGGAACTGGAGGATGGAAAGAAGTTTAAAGCAAATTTGGTTAACAAGCATTTTGTTCCAATTGACAAATGCGGACAAGGGGCTCAGTTTATCATTTATGAGGCAAAGAAAAGGAATTTTGTTTCTGACCTTGTCATAACAAATGACATATCTGAGTCTTCTCTAAGTTGTGTGAAGACATGGTTCTTTGCCATATGAGAGGAAGTTCTTTGCAATAACCCATACTCCACAACACAAAGAGGTTGGGAGGTTGATTTTAACTTTCATTGTTTTCTGAAAGCAAAGGAATTGGGTAAAGTTCAAACTGTCGAGTTTATATCAATGAATCTCTGACCATGTGTCAAGCCCTGAAGCACAGTGGGAAATAAAGCTGGCAAATGGGGCTTACATTTCTAGAGGGAGGATGAGAACAAAGTATACACAGAACAACTATACAAAAAAAGGTCTTAATGAGCTGGATAATCATGATGGTGTGCTCACTCATCTAGAGACAGACATCCTGGAGTGGGAAGTCAAGTGGGCCATAGGAAGCATTTCTGTGAACTAGGCTAGTGGAGGTGATGGAATTTCAGCTGAGCTATTTCAAATACTAAAAGATGATGCTGTTAAAGTGCTGCACTCAATATGCCAGCAAATTTGGAAAACTCAGCAGTGGCCACAGGATTGGAAAAGGTCAGTTTTCATTCCAATCCCAAAGAAAGGCAATGCCAAAGAATGTTCAGACTACCACATAACTGCACTCATTTCACATGGTAGCAAAGTAATGCTCAAAATTCTCCAAGCCAGGCTTCAACAGTATGTGAACTGTGAACTTCCAGATGTTCAAGCTAGATTTAGAAAAGGCAGAAGAACCAGAGATCAAATTGCCAACATTCACTGTATCATGGAGAAAGCAAGAGAATTTCAGAAAAACATCTATGTAGTCAATGGACTACACAAAAGCCTTTTACTGTGTGGATCACCAAAAGCTGTGGGAAATTCTTCAAGAGATTGGAATACTAGACCATCTTACCTGTCTCCTGAGAAACCTGTATTCAAGTC